CTGTAGTTGTAGCTGCGATTGTTTTGCTCTAGTTGTAGCTGCGAGTGTTTTTCTGTAGTTGTAGCTGCGAGTGTTTTGATGTAGTTGTAGCTTCGAGTCTTTTGCTGTAGTTGTAGCTGCAACTGTTTTGCTATAGTTGTAGCTGTGATTATTTTGCTGTAGTTGTAGCTGCAATTTTTTCTGTAGTTGTAGCTGTGAGTCTTTTGCTGTAGTTGGAGCTGTGAGTGTGTTTCTATAGTTGTAGCTGTGAGTGTTTTTCTATAGTTGTAGCTGTGATTGTTTTGCTCTAGTTGTAGCTGCGAGTGTTTTTCTGTAGTTATAGCTGCGATTGTTTTGCTCTAGTTGTAGCTGCGAGTGTTTTTCTGTAGTTGTAGCTGCGAGTGTTTTGATGTAGTTGTAGCTGCGAGTGTTTTGATGTAGTTGTAGCTTCAAGTCTTTTGCTGTAGTTGTAGCTGTGATTGTATTGCTGTACTTGTTGCTGCGATTGTTTTGCTATAGTTGTAGCTGCGAGTGTTTTTCTGTAGTTGTAGCTGCGATTGTTTTGCTCTAGTTGTAGCTGCGAGTGTTTTTCTGTAGTTGTAGCTGCGAGTGTTTTGATGTAGTTGTAGCTGTTAGTATTTTGCTGTAGTTGTAGCTGTGATTCTTTTGCTGTACTTGTAGCTGCGAGTGTTTAACTGTAGTTCTAGCTTCAAGTCTTTTGCTGTGTTTGTGGCTGCGAGTCTTTTGCTGTAGTTGTAGCTGCAAGTGTTTTGCTGTAGTTGTAGCTGCGAGTGTTTTGCTCTAGTTGTAGCTGCAAGTGTTTTGCTATAGTTGTAGCTGCGAGTCTTTTGATCGATTTGTAGCTGTGAATCTGTTGTTTTTGTATTTGTAGCTGTAGTTGTAGCTGCGAGTGTTTTGCTGTAGTTGTACCTGCAAATGTTTTGCTGTAGTTGTAGCTGTGAGTCTTTTGTTCAATTTGTAGCTGAGAGTCTTTTGCTATAGTTGCAGCTGTAGTTATAGCTGCGAGTCTTTTGCTGTAGTTGTAGCTGCAAGTCTTTTACTGTAGTTGTAGCTGTGAGTCTTTTGCTGTAGTTGTAGCTGCGATTGTTTTGCTATAGTTGTAGCTTCGAGTGTTTTGATGTAGTTGTAGCTGCGAGTGTTTTGATGTAGTTGT